CAAGGTCAGGATTTTCAATGCAAATGTCAAGACAGTTCTACTGTATGGGGCAGAAACCTGGAGAACTACGAAAGCCATCATCCAGAAGATACAGGTGTTTATTAACAGTTGTTTACGCAAAATACTTCAGATTCATTGGCCGGACACTATTAGCAACAACGTACTGTGAGAGAGAAGAAAACAGATCCCAGCGGAGGAAGAAATCAGGAAGAAGCGCTGGAAGTGGATAGGACACACATTGAGGAAAGCATCGAACTGCGTCACAAGACAAGCCTTCACAAGGAATCCTCAAGGCCAAAGGAAAAGAGGAAGATCAAAGAACACATTACGCCGAGAAATGGAAATAGACATGAGAAAAATGAACAAGAATAGGATGGAACGAGAAAAGAAGGCCCAGGACAGAGTGGGTTGGAGAATGCTGGTCAGCGGCCTATGCTCCATTGGGAGTAACAGGCGTAAGTAAGTTCAGAATTAATTTATTATAATTGATTCGTAGAGGAAGTTTAATTTTATGAACGTATAATTCAGTCTGAGGTTTACACAAGTGATTATCACAAATTTCGTCACAATTACGCAAATGAACGTAAAACACAAGTAAATCCAGAGTAGAGAAAAAGTAATATGTTACATATGTGCATTTATCTGTGCCTCAGTTACAATAAATCACATCTTTAAAAGAAATATAATCCCAACACTAATAACTATTGGATTTCTGATTTATGGGTGACGATGTTTTTCATTTAAAGGATCTCATCAAATTAAGTGTGCTAAACAAACGTTACAAAGCTATCATTCATTTGCTAGCAAAAAAGTCTGTCATTCCTTTGTTATAATAGAATTTAAATGTATTTCATATGAAATTTTAATAGAAAAATTGTAAATTGGTGGATCAGATTGAGGAGGCAAGTCATAGTGATTGTTTTATTACATATAGTGAATGTTCGCTGATGACACCGAATTGTGAACCTCTAATTTTTATTTGTTGTAAAACAGTCTGATAAACTAAAGTTCGTAGTAGGATGACAGTGTATCTATGGGTACTAGACTAGAAAACGTGTGGTCATGTCAATGTATAGAGCAGCTGTTTAGTGTCCACTGGTTTCGAATGAATCTCCAGGTAACATCACTTAAAGAATAAACAGAATAAGGTTCCTACTGCGGCTTATGTGGATTTAAGCGGGAAAATCTAATCATAACTGACAACAGATTGACATCATATTGTTATGCTATCTGTTCTTAGGTTCCAACCTGTGTTACAGAAATTAATCTAATATGAACTGAATATTTGACACAACTTTGGATTGCCAAAAACTATTGATTTAAAATGAGTTTAATTCTCATTAATTCACAAAATCAAATTACTTCATGCCCATCGTCATTATTATAAACACAAAAAACGTTAAGCTTTCTACATCCAACATTTTACTACTATTAGTAGTTAATTGTAATTTTAAAAAGTTTACCGATGAGGAATTTCAATTGCATGAAAAGGATATTTTAACTCCGCCTGTAGCTCTTATAGGGTTGCTGCCGGTCCCAAGCCCGTGTAAAGGAGGAGGTTTGGGCATGGGGTTAGCGTCCCCATCCCGTAGAAAACTAACTCACTAAATAAACGCTTACCAGAAAAAATAATTCAAACCATTTTAACTCTGCCCTGGGAGTTAGAAGGTCTTCATTTAGAAGAATCATGATGCTTCATGGTGAAAGCCGAGTTCCTTCAAAAGCCACGAGGTCACTGCCCCTTCTAACAACCAGAGCAACAATTTTTGTACGTACATTGAACGTCCGAACAATGTGGGAGACCGGGAAGATCAGTCAAATAGCAATGGAAATGAGAAGATAAAAATTGGCAGTACTGGGAATCAGCGAAACCCATTGGACCCAAGCTGGACAACAAAGGCTAAATACGGAAGATGTTGCTATACTCTGGTCATGAAGAGGAAAATGCTCCACACACTCAGGAAATTGCTCTAATGCTGTCCAAAGTAGCACGGAATGCACTTGTACGATGGGAATCTCACGGATCCAGAATCATCAAAGCATCATTCAAAACAAAGAAGGAGGGGATCTTAATGAATATTATCCAATGTTATGCACCCACCAATGATAGCAACGACGACATTAAAGATCAATTCTACGAGCGGCTGCAGTCAGTGATAGAGAAATGCCCAAGAAACGACCTCACCATTCTGATGGGAGATCTAAATGCCAAAGTCGGAATAGACAACACCGGATATGAAGATATTATGGGACGACATGGACTGGGAGAAAGAAACGAAAATGGAGAAAGATTTGCAAATCTATGTGCATTCAACAAATTGGTCATAGGAGGCACAATATTTCCACACAAACGTATACACAAGGCTACATGGATCTCACCGGACCACACTACAGAGAACCAAATAGATCATATTTGCATCAACAAAAAATTCCGAAGGACAATGGAAGATGTGAGAACCAGGAGAGGTGCTGACGTAGCTTCAGATCACCACCTAGTTGTAGCCAATTTAAAACTGAAGCTGAAAAAGAACTGGACAAGTGGACAAACAGCAGTACAAAGGTTCAATACAGTCTTCCTTCGAGATACTGACAAACTCAATGAATTCAAGATAGCTCTCAACAACAGGTTCCAAGCCTTACAAGATCTACTGAAGGAAGAAGAAACTAGTTTGGAGGACAACTAGAAAGGCATCAAGAAAGCATTAACTTCAACGTGTCAAGAGGTTCTGGGTCTAAAGAAATACCATCATAAGGAATGGATCTCTACAGAAACACTGGACAAGATCAAAGAAAGGAAGAACAAGAAGGCCGCAGTTAACAACAGCCGAACACGAGCAGAGAAAGTCCAAGCACAAGCTGAATACATAGAAGCAAACAAACAAGTGAAGAGGAGCATTAGAGTCGACAAGAAGAAATACGTTGAAGAACCAGCAACGACGGCAGAAAAAGCTGCTAGAGAAGGAAATATGAAACAGCTTCACGATACAACGAAGAAACTAGCAGGAAAATACAGTAAACCAGAGAGGCCAGTCAAAGACAAAGAAGGCAAGCCAATCACCGAAATTCAACAACAGCGTAACAGATGGGTAGAATACTTCGAGGAACTCCTGAATAGGCCGGCTCCAATGAATCCACCGGACATCGAAGCAGCACACACAGATCTTCCTATAGATGTCAACCCACCAACGACGGAAGAAATTAGAATGGCCGTCAGACAAATCAAGAACGGGAAAGCATCAGGACCCGACAACATACCAGCTGAAGCACTGAAATCAGACATCGAAGCAACCACAAGCATGCTTTATCTTCTTTTCAAAAAGATTTGGGAGGAGGAACAAGTACCGATGGACTGGAAAGAAGGACACCTGGTCAAGATTCCAAAGAAAGGAGATCTGAGCAAATGTGAAAACTACAGAGGCATTACACTACTGTCAATACCAGGGAAAGTCTTCAACAGATTGTTGCTGAACCGGATGAAGGATGCAGTAGACGCCCAACTTCGAGATCAACAAGCTGGATTCCGTAAGGATCGGTCGTGCACAGACCAAATTGCAACACTACGGATCATCGTCGAACAATCAGTTGAGTGGAACTCATCACTATACATCAACTTCATTGATTATGAAAAGGCATTTGACAGTTTGGATAGGAGGACGTTATGAAAACTTCTTTGACACTATGGAGTTCCTGAGAAGATTGTCAATATTATCCGGAACTCATACGACGGACTACAGTGCAAAGTAGTGCATGGAGGACAGCTGACAGATGCATTCCAAGTAAAGACCGGAGTCAGACAAGGCTGTTTACTCTCTCCCTTCCTTTTTCTCCTGGTGGTCGACTGGATTATGAAGACCTCAACATTTGAAGGAAAACACGGAATACAATGGACAGATCAGAATCAATTAGACGATTTGGACTTCTCAGATGACCTAGCCCTCCTATCACGTACACACGAACAGATGCAGATGAAGACAGCCAGTGTAGCAGCAGTCTCTGCATCGATAGGCCTCAACATACACAAAGGGAAAACCAAGGTCCTCAAATTCAAAGCGGAGAACAACAATCCAATCACTCTTGATGACGAAACTCTGGAAGATGTAGAATCCTTCACATACTTAGGAGGCATCATCGATGAACAAGGAGGATCCGATGCAGACGTAAAAGCGAGGATCGGCAAAGCAAGGGTCGCATTCCTACAATTGAAGAACATATGGAACTCAAAACAACTTTCAACCAATATCAAAGTGAGAATCTTCAATACCAACGTCAAGGCAGTTCTACTCTATGGAGCGGAAACTTGGAGAACTACAACAACCACAATCAAGAAAGTACAAGTATTTATAAATAGCTGTCTACGCAAGATACTCAACATCCATTGCTCGGATACCATCAGCAACAACCTTCTGTGGGAGAGAACAAACCAACTTCCAGCTGAAGAAGAAATTAGGAAAAGACGATGGAAATGGATAGGACATACATTACGCAAATCGTCAAACTGCATCACGAGGCAAGCCCTAACTTGGAATCCTGAAGGGAAGCGAAAAAGAGGAAGGCCAAAGAACACATTGCGTCGGATAATAGAAGCAGATATGAAAACGATAAATTACAACTGGACGGAGCTAGAAAGGATTGCCCAGGACAGGGTTGGATGGAGAACGCTGGTGAGCGGCCTATGCTCCTTCACGAGGAGTAACAGGCGTAAGTAAGTAAGTAAGAACAGGATATTTCTAAGTTCAGTCCCCGCAAACTACTATGAAAGCTTACTAAAACAATCCGTTATGCGAGCTATCGTTCATAGCAAAGTGACTTTAGACATGAACACTAAGAGAATCACGTTAATTCGTATTTAATTCTATCTAGATTGAGATGGCTTGAGAAATGGATTTTCGTCTTGTTTTTTTCAAGCTTGATTAGCCACCTAGATTTACTCAGTTCACAAAATTTGATTTTTTAAAACCTGAATATAGATATAAAGATAGTCTCCAGAAGAAATCAACAAGGAAGCAAACAGAATTTATATATCACACTGTACATATTAAAAAGCATGTTCACAATAATCACTAATATATAATACTTGAGAAAGCTTTATCCCAAAATGTTTCACTAGAAGAACTGTTGCTTCTTTCAGTCGAACAGAAACATTGGATTAATTCATTGTATTCAATTAAGTATATTTGTTATTTTTTATTGGTACAGTTCATTTGTAACAATATTAACACGTTTCTACAAAGTAACCCGTTTGAAATAAGATTGTTTAGCCACTGTGTTATAACCATATTATGGGAAAACAAGAATGTTCCCGATTACATTTTAAAGTATGAGGTGTAATAGATGGTTAGCTCTCAAATAAGAACGATAATGAAGAATGTGATCACCGTATAAGCTACATCTAAGCTTTAAAAACACGGAACTAAATTAAAGACTAGAAATTAGAGTGAAACAGGAAAATATACCATTTCCGAGAATGAGTAAAATTGGAATTTAATTATGGAAGGACAACAAACTTTATATTTAAATGATTACGATTGACACAAATCTGAACGGTAGCAAAGATAACAAAAGAATTATGGTTTATTATAAGAAAGCTTGAACTCTAAAGAAAGCTAATATGAATGTAATAGTAATCAATAACGTATTTCTGTTCCCTTGACAATAAACAAATCAAATCTATCTTTTACGTTTCGTTTAAGCATTTTGAAATTAATAATAATAAACGGTCATTCTTCATTTCTTTGTTTTTCTCTAAACAGAACTCTACTGTTATAATCAGAGTATTGTTTGAATCTTCGCTTGTCTGCTGGAGGTTATAAACAAATAAGTATCACTTCTGAAATGTTTCATTCTCTTATTTGTTGTAAACGTTAATTTCTTGATAATCTTAGGAAAATGACTATGTTCCATCACATATTTAAGTATATGGTATGGAGTATTTAGAGAATGCCTAGACAAGTATATTTAATAACAAACAGAAAATGATAGAGTGATAGATAAAATGCGAAAGACGTCAGTTTGATTCAACGTGGAAGTGTGATTGAGTACTGCTGTTGAGTTCTAAATTAAAACAATGAAGTTCCCCATTGTTTTCAGATTTTCTTTGGTTCGCCAGTCGATACTAGTCGGTGGTAAAACTATCCTCACAACTGTATAATCTTTGATGGATTGGTTTACATTACTATGCCTTATTTTAACAACGTCACTATACTGTGAATTTAAACTGAATAACACTTAACATGTAATTAACAATACGCTGAAAAGTATGTAACGAAAATGCGGATACAGATACGTTTATTTTTAGAAACATGTTTTTTTCAAAGTGTAAACAGAGAATTATAAGTTTTCTCCACATACGATTTATACCTTGGAAAATATGTAGTACATTTAATTAAAAGTACTGCACAAAGTATTCAATGCTTTAGCTATTAATGGACTGTCACGTTCAAGAACAGTTTGGTTTATAGACAAAGTTTCATAAATTTGATCTAAAGTACGCGTACAACAAACCGGATTCGCATCGAAGAATTCCTGGAAAAATAAATAAATAAACAGTTAATACAAAACTACAATGAAGATCATATCATATTTTGTAAAGAATGAACAAAAAACATTGTGGGATAACGGGAATTCAATTGGTCATTGTCTATGATCGAAATTTCCCATACGTACAGATTTGCATGGAAAAAACGTTTTACAAAAGTAATGTTTTGTTTTGTAATACTCACAAATCATTTGGTTCACTAATGAGAAGTAATTATAATTACCATTTCATATCTATGCACGTTCAATTGACGAATGAATGGAATAAACGTGTGTATGACTGTGAGACAGAAAGACAGTGAATTCATTTGAACAGTATCCGCAGGTAGTACTTCATAATGTCAAAAGAGTGTAGAGTGTAGGGATACAAACTTTATCAATCCAAATTTACAATGCTATTTTAGTTTAAAAGTCTCGCCGTCTTTTTTTTCCTGAATAAGTGAGTATTCCTAGAGCTTTGCACTCGTCTATTTTTCATAATGAAATTTTTCTAGTGAAACACTCTCTCATATATTTTCCTAAATTTCCTATTGAAAACTGAAATAATTATTTATTAAGAAATGAAAATAAAAATAAAAAACTTCGTAATAAGTGAAATTGAGATGAATATCTGACAGAAAACAATCCATATGAAAAGTGTCTGAACAGAAAATAATAATCATTTTATCAAACGAAATTCAAGTGAAGAAACTCACTTTGATCACTGATATATGAGATTTTGTTGAGAATCCTGATAAAACATTCTGTATAAAATAAACAACAATTAATTATGGTCAATCTTATTGCAAAAATTTAATTATTTCTAATCTAATAGTAAAGTACAGGGTAAAAAATAAGTATATAATTAGTTAGTCCATTAGTCATTATTAACGTACAGCCTGGCACAGATGTACATTGGTTCAAGTTGCCATGCATGTTAGCAAGATAAAATGAATAGTAAAAGAGATTGAAATAATGTAGTAGCGATGACAATGAGAAAGAATAAGCATTGAGAATATGTTTTGGCCGAAGTTGTTACTGTGACTTGATTGGTAGAGTTACGAATTGTAATGATCTAATTGAGTTATATTGGATGGGGCGCTCATTCTTTCATGTACCACCATATTAAGAAGCTTGGATGGAGAGCAGTGAAACGGAAAGTAGCAAACTCATGGTTCGAGGATGAAATATAACCCCTGGCTATGTAGAGGTATGAGGGAAATCAGGTGCTCCCCTCAGAAAACTAGCTTCTGTAGCGATGTTGCCTTCCCATATCAGGACGGAGTTAGAAAAGATCAACCCTAAAAATAGCACACCTCACTTTTTCCCCCAAGGATTTTCGTCGCCGGTGGTAAGGCCTTAAAAAATACGAAGCCAATTCATCTAAAGCTACTTGAAGGCCCTGTGTGAAAGGCCTTGGGCAGTTGTCCCTAGGGTACTGCAGTCACGCCTCCATGTCATTAAGACCATTTTACTTTTCAGATACTTTAAGAATCACCCTCGTACTTCTAATAGTACCCAAGATTACCTGGTATATCATCATCAATAGTATATCATAAAACAAATGTTGTGTTAATAACAAAATATTTCTTTACTTCCAAGAGAGTTGGCAATAAGAATTGACCACCATACAATTCGGTTATTCTACTCCATTCATTGGTGATACTTTTCCATGTCGCTAGTCTAGCTGGAATAGACCACGATGAACAAGCGACCAGTCCATGAACTCTATCTTGATCTTTTATTGGACCGTTTGGATTCAAACAAAAATGTAAAACATCCGATAAAGGCGACGAAGAAGAAGAATCATTAAGGCCATTACAATTAGTTTCACGTGCTGCGCCCAGAGCCAAGAGAATATGATGACGTTCTTCAGGTGAGTCGGTACGACTATATGTCTAAGGAGAGACACAAATGTGATATTGATATAATTAGTGTTTTAAATGAAGTTCTAAAAAATATGCTAATATACCTCCATAACACTATTCCATTTTAGACAGGAGGCATGATGGCAAAATGTTCAAAGAACTGTAACAAAAACTAAATCATCAATTTAAGATGTTTAAATAATTACAATCGAAATTATTTTTATTATCGTTAACTTAATCACCAGAAAGAAAATTCCAAGTTTCCCAACACTATATACACTATAGTCATTTTTCTTATGAAATACTGAAAAAAACATAAAAAGTAACTTAAATTCTCTGCAGTTTAATTTGTTTATTTGAACTAATTTCTCATATCATTTCAGTCATATAAGATATAGGGGTTAAAGAATATTATACTTGAAATTCCAAACCTCCCATCAATGAAAGAAAAGCTTTTCATGTAGAAGGTTTCGATGGAGATCCTCGATGCTACAATTGCAGTCATTGCATAAAATCCTCACCCAAAAAATCAATCTTAAAATTAAATTTCTAATGAGAACAAAATCATATACTTACGTTCATAAGATATTGAATTACATCTGTAGAGCCATGACGTACAGCTATTGTGTAAATTGCTTTACGTAAATCATTTGGTAATTCTTTCTTGCCTAAACGATGAGCTTCAAAAAGTCGTTTAGCTTCCTCAATCACATTATTATCTTCTGCTTCCGCACCAGCAACAGATAACATTAATGATCTGAGCATACTTGTATTATGTGGCAAGGAATCACAATCTGTAATAAGACCTTTTAGGTGAGGGAGGAAAAACAATAGAAAACCAATAACATTATTATTAAAATTGAAACAGAGAAGAACTTTAATTTGATGAGAAAAATTTGAAATTGAAAAATTATGGTGTAGATTGCTTGAGAAGATTAAAACAAAATGAGTTTAAAAATCACCGCATTGCACAAGCTTAGTGGCCATCAGGACTCAGTAGTTAAGTGGATAACGCGATGGCGTTTGGAGCGAACGGTACTAGGTTCGAGTCCCGGAGTGAACACCAACACTGGGATGCAGGTACATCCAGTTGATGGGTCCCGAATAGGACGAAACGCGTATCCAGGATTCCACTACTAACCACTATTCATATTTGCTTAAAATGAATATTACTTTAAAGTGAGAATAGTTAAATCTTTAAAAATTACGAGAAGACAATTAATGAGATCATATATTTTAGCACGTTTTAAATATACACAAGTGAATTTGGCCGTTTATAGTATTGAAATAAAATTAACCAATTAAAAACCCAAATAAATGGAAATAAAGCTTGATAGCCTTAAGCATACAACACCATTCAAAAATAATAACACATTCTTACCTACTCACTTACTTATGACTATTACCCTTCATGGAGGAGCTGACTCGATGTCCGGTGGATTCAATGGAGCTGGTCTATTGAAGAGTTCCTCGAAGTATCCTACCTATCTGTTCCTCTGTTTTTGAATATCGGTGATTGTCTAACCTTCCTTATCCTTGATCGGTCTTTCTGCTTTACTATATTTCCTCATAGTGTCATATAATTGTTTCATATTTCCTTCTCTTGCAGCTTTTCCCGCTGTCGCTGTTTGGTCTTCCACGTATTTCTGCTTGTCAGCTCTAATGCTCCACTTCACTTGCTTGTTTGCTTTTGTGTATTTAACTTGTGGCTCAACTTTTTTCTGTTTTTGTTCGGCTGTTGTTAATTGCTGTCTTTTTGCTCTTCCTCTCTTGAATCTTGTCCAAGGTTTGGATGGAGATCCATTCCCTATGATGATGCTTCTTGCAACCCAGCATCTCCTGATCTCTTTCCAATTGTTCTCCATAGTAGTTTTCCCTTCTTCGAGTAGATCTTGTAATGCTTGGAACCTGTTGTTGAGAATTTTCTCATGTGAAAACTATAAATATACTAACGTTTTTCTTATTGTGCTTTTTACTTTCATCTACCCTTGTTATTTGGACATAATTTCTTTCCTATCCAACTGTATTCTGATTTGCGGACTTGTCGAGTGAAATGGTGTCCAAGAATACTAAGTAGTAGGAATAGCTGGGTTGTAATAAGAGAGAATTATAACAGTAGGACTTCTTCGGCAGTGACTATATACGCGTGGACATGTGAAAGCATTTCGAGAGAGAGAGAGCGGACTCTCCCCACTCTCGGCCACACCAGGCCATTTGGGCGCTAACTAAAAATGAAACTTGGAATCGAGAGGGCGATGAAAAATGCACAGACCTGTGCAACTATCACTGATTCTGAGCGATGTCGCCAAATTTCTCCAATTCGTGATCATAATTATCGCATGGACCACAACTAAGTAGTCCGCAGTTCAGATAATCTAGTTGACCACTGGTTAGTGAAACAAAGCGTAGTTTGACTCCGCTTTTCTTATTTTCGGCAAATATTGAAAAACTTAGTGACATATTTTAACAAAAAATGTTCAGATGTCCTAAAAACGAACCTGAAATCACTTTCACATATATAAAATCTAATCACGTATTCCCTACTTTTATAGGAACGACTGTTATCAAATAGCTTATGAAAATATAATATGTGCAAAATCTTCTGATTATCACACAAAACAATGGTTAAAGCAATACAGTGATAAACGCAAATCTCATTACAGAGAAAAATTTCCTACTGATAACTTACCCAATTTATTTATTACTGGATATACTAATTTTAATAAGAAACTATTATAGAGTGAAGAAGGAATGTCACTAGACTGTATTATTCTCTTAATATAAGTATTAAGACCATCTAGAACACCACGCCACACAGAGTATTCGTTTTCGTTTTCTATTAATTTAGGCAAAAGTATAAGCCAATCGTAAACACTAATGTAACCAGCTTTAGCCTACAAAAATGTAAATGAGAAAATAATATTACTTCTAAAAACTGATAACAAGTAATTGTATACAACTTAATTGGAAGAATAGTTTGTGGTGAATATAACAGCAATTAATTAATGAAAGAAGGAAACATATGTTTGCCACAATTTATACCATAGTATTTCTGTATGATAGACTAGATTTATACAATCGGAACATCAGATAAATTTTAGTTAAGTAAATTAGACAGAACCAAATTTCTGTCAATTACTATAGGTTAAGGTGTTTTATACACAGAGGATACTGAAAATTTAAAAAGTATCAAACAATACTAGTGTGTGGAGAGCACTGAATCCCAACTCTAAAAAAAACTATGAAGAAACACAACAACGATGATCAGAAATTTTATGAGCCACCAAAACCACTTCTAAGTTTTAAACTATTAAAAATAGTGGTAGCAAACAAAGTGGTTATTCTTTCTAATGTACACGTCTGGAATGATGATTCTCTATTTGACTTATGAATCAAAATAGTTACTGGTAATTAGTTGTATTTAATTTAATTAACCATACTTTTTAGCGCATCAATGGAGACATTCTTCGCTAAGATAGTGACATAAAATGTCGACATTTAACAGACATTAGGTATAGCTTTATGATAAACTAAAGACTACTGAAGTGATATTTCAGTTATTGGTGAATAGTTTTCGTAAACGTTTCACTTTTGAATTTCATAGTACTTAAAATGGGTTGATAAGAATGAGATTGGATACATTTTTTGTATTGAATTTTTGGGATGGTTGAAGGTTTATACTTCTAAGGAAATAGGAAAAAAACAGTTATATCATGGTGGGTGAATTGCCATGAGAAGAGTTACGATTCAGTAGTGCCTATTGGTCAGTTCTAGTATTGTTTGAAGGTATGACAATGAAAGAAAGTGAATTATACTTTGCTTATGAAGTAAGACTAATTTAAGCTAGGATAATTTGATTTTTCTGATTGTCACCGTTTGTGTGACGATGCATTCATCTGGTATATGTCATTTGAATATGCTTTGCCTCCAGTATTCCAAAAGCCTCAAAATCTACTAGTTTAGTGGTTTCAGCGCCTAGTTTGAAGGGGAAAAAGCAAAGTTATTTATTATGGCACGTCTGCAAATACACTATGAATTCTTCTGTGATAATTTCAGTACCAAAAGTTAGTTATAAGATCAAAAACAGTAACGGCTGTGGATATCTAATTTCTAATTTAATACATCAAGTAATTTTATAAACACAAACTAGGACTGATAGCACTTCAGCAATGCACCTTCCTGAATCTATATCAAGTCGTCACCTTTGAGATTTTATTTTCCTCCTGTTCCGTAAAATGTTATTTTATATTGATTAGTGTAAATTCTGATGTTAACTAATGCTCATTGGTGCAAAGGCTTTGTGTTAAATCAGAGAATTAAGAATTTAAACTTCTACTAGACAGTTTTTAGTAGAATGAACCTGATTTGGGAAAATTGCTGAGACATATTTTTTTCAAGTTTTTAGTTATTTGAGTATGTTTAATAAAAAAACTCACAAGTCAATCACTAAATTTACAACTAACTACAAAAAGTGGAACACTGAAGGTTAGTTTCAGTTTTTTGTAGAAAGTCATTTATTGTTTTACTTTTAAGACATATTACTTAAGTAGTATAGTAATGCTTTTAAACTTTTAAGGTTTATCCTCAATAGAGGAATTCTCTTACTACAAGGACAGAATAATCAACTCCCTCAAAATTCCAAATACATCTTTTTGAAGAGAGCAAACTAGCGCGAAATATATGGTTCAGGGCATGCTTTCGGATGCCTCCAAACAACAATCTAACATCAGAACAGGAGAAAATCATCAGTAAAATCAAATATATAAAGCAAAAATCGCTTACTAATGCGAATCCATCATTAATAAATACGAAGCGACTAGAAGTGCTCCATCCACCCAACTTCATATCATCCAATAAATTATTCATTTGCTTTGGATCATATCTTACATGATAAAATCCTGTTGCGTCTGCATTGGCCCGTATCAAATAATCGTCAGGGTTAGTAGTCGTGATCCAAGCAAGAGGTATATCTACTACTTTTGATGCTGTCCTTAGAACATGTTTAAATACGAATGAATGTTTTCCATCTTTTGAAGAACAGGTTAAGGTTATTGGTACAGGCCAGAGTTTGATCTCTATTAGAAAAAATTAACCACGATAAACATCAATATATATATATATATATATATATATATATATATATAAACACCTGCCCATCGATTCAGGTTGCCATACGCCATTAAAACAGAGAAATGAAATTGTCAAAGCGAATCCCAGAGTAGTAAATGACGTACAGGATTAGAACTAGGTATCTAAGATACCAATTATTGAAGTAGAAAACTCTATGAGGAATTTGGAAACTGAGGGCCAAAAGGAAAACAAAGAATGAATGCACCTGTGCCATTCCAAACGACTTTGAGCCGTGTCATTCAAAGTCTTTAACCAACGGATATTTTTTCGATGATCACCGTAAGTTGATTGTTGATTCAATTACACGATTAGTGCACAGAATGTTAATATAGTTTTGGGTGTACATCCTAATGTTATAAAACACTGGTATATAAAATCTGGTTAAATGATACTGTTGCATGCTATGATTACTTTTTCATAACAATTAGTTATTGCAGTAAATATATACGTTGTGACTGACCTTGTGTACATTTTGATTGAAGTTTATATTCCTCTTGTGATAATTGTACTTCTAAAGAAGTGTTATTTATGCTAACAAGTAAGACAGATAAAACTGGAAATCCGGTATTCCGTGTCCATGGGCCCATTAAACTACCAATATTCGTGCCACAACTTGAGGTTAAAGCTAACCAAAGATCATCTGTAACTGCATTAGAATAAGCATGTCTTCTAAGGTAAAATGATAATCCTGAACGAAATATACTATCACCTAAATATCCATGCAGCATGTTAATAAGACTAGCACCTTTACAATAAGATATTGTATCGAAAATCTCATTAATTTCATTGGGATTGGAAACTTCCACCTGAAATTAAAATTTCACAAGAACTAGTAAATTAATCAATATTACAAGTAACCTGATTATTGTAGCCGAGAAGAAAAAAGCTAGGACTAACCAAAGTCAGTCTATAAGAACTTTCGTCTAAATATGAGCGAATAGTTTCATAGTAATTGGTAGCCAAGCTAATGTAAGACAACAATAAAGAAAAATCATATTTGTAAAAATCTCAGCAATTGAACTTAAGGTAAATCCAGCGTTTTATTTGGCATTCTGGTTCAAGATTAATCGAACACGAAAATAATCAGAAGTACAGAGCTCACAGGTTAACTGTAAATTAAGCAGATACTTAAGGTAAATCCAGCGTTTTATTTGGCATTCTGGTTCAAGATTAATCGAACACGAAAATAATCAGAAGTACAGAGCTCACAGGTTAACTGTAAATTAAGCAGATACTCCAATCATATTAGCAACGTTGAAATTGAGATTTGTCGTAGTACAAATCAGACGTTTGGCTTGAGTAACAGAGAAGATTGTGTTAAGACAGCAGTTGTATGAAGGTGTAAGTGGATCTGATGTGAAATATTTCATTGACTATATATATCGACCGCTTATTGATATTTAACGAAAACAAACAATTTTATAGATGATATGAGCCAAACATGTCACACCATGCATAAAATTATGTTAAGTTTTGATCAAGCTGATCATTTATCATATACTTAGATAAACCAACCGATTAGAGCTGAAAGTAATCGTTGTTGCTCACATAATAAGCGATGGATTAAATTCAGTAAAATATAATGAGTTCAGGTTGACTTATTAATTATCTGTGGCCATGGGACAGCTAATCGCATTCCATCTCTCCCATTGATTCTGTTTGGATTTGCCTATATGCGGAATCAGGGTTTTCCAACTCCCCTAGGTGGACACGAAGGGGCCACCAACCCGGTTAAAGAACCAGGCATTCGCTTTTCGTCCTTTAAATTTCGTAGACAACACCCCCGCCGCGAGAAGGCAGTGAGTAGGATTTCCATAGCAGTTGTTGTGTGTGGGCGTGGCCATGTGAGAGTATTTCGAGAGAGAGATTAAGTTCTCCCCACTCTCGGCCATACCAGGGAATTTGGGGGCAAATGTGTAGGGGAGCTTCAGCCGTTAGTTTCTTTTTATATGAACTAAAACCCTTTTTTGAGGATTCTTGTGCGATCGTATGCCCAGACTGTATTAAGTACAGTGCTATCACTGACTTGTTTCCTAGTTTAATTTTTCAGGAAAGTGATAAAAGTAACAGAATAAGGTTTGAAAATATAAGTAATGTATCTGTTGTTTTGATTGAAGATTTCCGATCTGTAAATTTTATGAAACTGATTAAAACAATGGAGAAACTAAAGTAATACATCATTATAGCAAGTTAAGTTGTGAAATACTCATTTTAGAAAGATGTAATACAAACCAGTGCCATGAGCATTGAAAATAAGATGTTAACTTGCTTATCAAAGGTTAAACATATTGCGAAAACTTATACTCCATTTAACTATATGACTCTGGAACATGGTCTCTGAGAGTAAATATCTTGTATACGTTAAAAGTATTTGATTTTAAATGCCTTTGCAGCGGTAGTCGCTTATAATGAAACAGCCAGATGATTAGTGCTGTAATTGGAATTATTATACTAGGGTAATTGTGAGGAAATAGTCGATGAGGTTGCAAATCTTCTCCGACTAGTGGGGGAGGAATGTGCAGAAGCCGCCCACCAACCTCTCAATGATCCAAGTTGACTGGTACAGGAGTAAGTTGGAAGAAAGCTACGCTTAGTCAAACCAAGACGTGAAGTCCTGTCATAAAGTCACTAGCTCTCGGTCTGAACCGTGTCAACAGGTTAAGACTTCGTAGATAAAGTCTGAATGATAACAGTAACTAGAAGATTCCAACATCCGAACCATATATGAAAATAAATAACAGGGGTCACTGGTGAAAACTTACAAAGTTGATGCATTACAAGTACAGACAACATAGAGGTGACCTTCTTCCACAATTATGCGCTGACAAAATTTTTTCAACTAATTAGTGACTCCGAAAACACATAAGTACTATTCGAGATGGTGGTCGACAACTTAACAGTAGACGAAAATAGACTTTCTAAATCGACCACGACTAGAAGGTATGAGTAGATGATTGTCACTCCAGACATTGTCATTTGATCCTTTCGTATTAGAATTGTCCACTTAGCTACTTTTGGTCGATTTGGTCATGGATATGAATTGGGAGGTAATACTTAATTAGTTCGTCCATTACTCCGAGATGATCTTATTAACATGTAGTGTAGAAAAGATAAATTTTTTGTTTAGAAAAGACTCCAAATAACTGAAAGATCTTCTGAAAACTTTTATCAACAATTCAATAGTATTTTAAATACGTTTATTGTGTACAATGAATGTGAAATAGTTTTCAATTGTTCTGAGCAAATCTAAACATAAAAAGTAAAATAAATATGTTATTAACCTCTAATTATAAAATGAAATAAACTTACTTCTATCGGATGTGAGCTAGATAGTGCATCTAGACGTAATGCAGAGGCTAACCGATGATATGAAAAGTGTGTCTAAAATAGTAAATGGAAGAAAAATAAAACAGGAAACCTTTTAAAAAGCAATTAGTTAATAAGAAACGTACAAACAGATGGTAAGTACATCATAACCCTACCTGTATGTTACTCCTAGTCCCAAACCCGGATGAAGGAGGAAAGCTGGGTATGGAGTCAACGACCCCATCCCGTAGAAAAAACCTTGCCATAATAACGCTAATCATAAAAAATCATTTGAACTTTGTCCTGAGAGTTAAAGGATCTTTTTTTAGAAGGGCTGTAATACCTCATGGTGAAAGGTGATATTCTTCGGAAGTCACGAGGCAGATGTCCCTTCTAACAACTAGAGAAACAATTAACATGTGTACGCTGGATGTCCGCAGAACCAGTCAAATAGCTGCGGAAATTGGGATATAAAACTTGGCTGTAGGTGGAATGAATGAAACCATTTCAACCCAACCCTGACAGAATAGATTAGCTTCGAGAGAGGTGAAGAAGAAAATGCCTAGTAGAAACAAGGAGTTGCACTGATGCTGTACAAAAAAAACAGGAAAAGCACTCATAGGATGTTAATCTCATGAATCCAGAATCATCAATGGATCCTTTAAAACAAAGGAGGGGCTTACAGTGAATGTTACCCAGTGCTATGTGCCAGCCAATGATGGCAAAGAAAACGAGATCAGTCTTGTGAGAGGCTGTAGTCCATCGTAGTAAAGTGCCAAGGAAAAGACCTCATCATCCTGATGGGAGACCCAAACTCCAAGGTCAGAATGGACAAAACTGCTTGGGATGTTGTAGTGGTTTTGTTTCGTTAGTCGATCACCTCGATAACCGTTGTAAATATAAATGTCAACGGTGTTTAAAATCAGAAGGCAATAAGAAGTGGCAACTACACTTAATTAACGGATAGCGCAGATCACAAAGCTATAAGTATATCGAGCGAATTTGAAGCGGAGTCGAATAAATATATGCGAGCAACTACATAATCAAATTTATAATCAAATTACATAAGAGTGCAGCAAGGCAAAGCAAAAGCCAATAATATGATTTGAGTACATATATACATGGGAAGGAGGATGAATCATCGAGTGATATTTAAACAATCAACATTTTAGCTAGTCTGTCATGTGCTCTGGTGATCATAACGGTACAAAGAAATATGCGAATTGTTACTGTTCAAATAACATTGTCTGTTAAGTAAGTTAATAAAAAGGTTTATCCAAAGTTGAACATAATCGAAATTGGTTGTAGGATAGTTGCTATAATGTCACAAAACTACATCGATTAAGAGTTCAGTTAAAGACGTGAGAACAAAGAGAGGACTACACTCAAATTCGTGCATTGAGGATACCAAACAGATGCACGCCAAATGGAGACCGGTGTCAGACAAGACTGTCTACTCTCGCACTTCCTCTTTCTTCTGGTGGTTGACTGGATTATGAAGCCCTTCACATCTAATGGAAAGCACGGAATACAACAGACAGCTTGGACGCAACTAGACGATTTAGACTTCGCAGATCACCCAGTTCTTCTATCCCATACACAAAAACAAAATCAGGCGAAGACAGCCAGTGTAGCAGAAGTTTATGCAGCAGTGATCTTCAATATACACAATGGAAAAGCAAAATCCTCAAATACAACAAGGAGAACACCAACCCAATCACACTTGATGGCAACTCTGGAACACGTGGAAAAATTCACGTATCTGGGAAGCATCATAGATGAACAAGGAGGATCGGATGCAGACATAAATGCAAGGATTGGTAAAGCAGGGGCCGTATCCCAACAATTGTCAACTAATATCAGAGTGAGAATCTTCAATACCAACGGTAGGACAGTTCTACTGTACAGGGATGAGATTCGGAGAACGACTACAACCATCATCAAAAAAGTACAGATATTTAAAAACAGTTGTCTACGAAAGATGCTGAATGTCCGTTGAGCGGATAACATCAGTAACAGTCTACTATGGGAGAAAACAAACCGGCCTCCATCTGAAGAGGAAATTAGGAAAAGACGATGGAAGTGGATAGGTCATACATTACGGAAATCACCAAAGTGAATCACGAGGCAATCGCTAACTTGGAATTCTGGAGGGAAACGGAAAAGAGGAAGGCCGAAGAACACATGGAGTCGGGAATTGGAGGCGGACATCAAAAGAATAAATAGTGAATGGCAATAACTGGAAATGACTACTCAGGACACTTCGATGAAGTATCCTAGTCGGGGCTCTATGTTCCATTAAGGGGTAACAGGCGTAAGCACAGCATATATGAACTTTTAAACGATACAGGGATTGGCGTTCCATCAATTTATCAAGAAATTTAAGTTTACAGATTTGAGGTGATCCAATCAATAGCAGTATCAAAGTTTTATTCGTTTTCACTTATAATTAAAATATTAAATTATTGATCAGTAAATTTAGTCTACTTTTTTCTCACCGCTGAATTACCACTTTCGTAGATTTAATATTCCGAATGTTCATTTTACTTGACTTTGTTTACTGAAATCATGAACCAACCTAAGTTAAACCACCATTGAAAACCTGGAAGCACTGGATGGCTGTTTCTTCCCAGTATGAGACTCCTCAGAAGTGAGTAACCACCACCTTTCATGTGAGAATTTATGACCCAGGACCTACAGTCCCACACATGAGCACCTAACCTCTAGACCACTAAGTCGGCGTCCAACAGTGTTAACGTCTAACTTCAACCAATGGGCGACACTGAGTGACCATCTTTCACTGTCTCCGAGGAGTATAGGCTTCACATCTGAGACGAATTAGTGAGGGTCCTGGGTATGACTCGCCAGTGTGGGGTCGTGAACGTGTACACCTAAGGACACCCATACTAGGACGAAACGGTCGTCCAGTGCTTTCAGGTTTTTAACGGTGGTCTTGTAGTGGCATTGGACCATAACCACACAATCTTCAAAGCTGAACACAACACTACTCGGAAAATAGATATTCAATATTTAACACGGAGAAATACCTAACGATGGAAAAGGCGGGAACAATGAATGGAATGAACTGGAGTTGATCGGATGGCATGACTCGGCCATGCGGGCGTGGTCTCTGCTGAATGTTAACTTATATCTTCTATTCATATTAAATATATTGTTCTTTCTCTAGCCTAACCTTGTTCTACATAATGTATTGGTAATTGATACGATACAGTGAGTTGGTGTAGTCGATGGTGTGACTTCCACGTAAGATCTTATAGATTAGGGAGTTATATTATGACGAATCTACAAATTTAGGATTAGGTCTATTATTAGAGCAGTACTAATATCATAGTAGACCATAGTTCTACAGTCTAACCTAAACTGATTCATGACTTTAATGAAATCCAACAATCTCCACAACTCCTTACTGACTTAATTTAATACAAGTACACAAATAAAAATATAAAGAGTATCTGTATCAGTCATATTGACAGTAGTTGTAACAGGGAATAAAATGAAAAGATCAAGAAACCTAGGCCATATATGAGACAAACAATTGATTAGTGGCTGAAATACTTGGCTATCAACCTATAGGTTGTGAGTTTGGACTCCGATCCACTCACTTTTATTTAAGCAACTGGGTAGTATCATCAATCTTCAGACAAACACTGCAGCTGAAAGTCAAGTAGACGCAACTGTATTCGTTATGAGTCACTTTATTTAGTAATCTATTAAAATTACATTTGTCATTACTGATAACTCTATTAGTATCCATCATTTAAATTTTGAACCATTTTGCCATATCTTCTTTTTATCGGGAACTTCCTAAATGCAATTGATGTAAATCATGAGGTTTGAAAAAGCATGTCGTGTACTTCCAAATAATTAAGATTAGTTATCATAGTTGTTTTAACTTTATTGATGATAACTAAATCAATATGAAAATACCTACTGAATTCTAATCTGTTAGTGCAAGTTGAGAGAAAAGTAGCTTCTTCAACAAGCACAGGTGCGTGGACTTGTCTCTAATCTACAGTTTAAGCGTCATAGTGAGAATTACTAGGTTCTCCAAACTCAATTAAATGGAGTTATGTTCAAACTCACAGCCTAACGGTTGAAAAATCGGCGCTTTCATAACTACTTCACCACTCGTCCAGAAAAGCAATAGCATGACCCTGTGGTAATATGTGTTGACTTATAAGTAGCGGTTACCACTAGATATTTAAAATAGACTCTTCACATCGTTGATTCTACGTTTATTAAGGATTACATTAAAACTTATTTAAATTATGTGGATAAAGGTGTTGGCTTAGAAATTTATTGGTGATCTTGTAATAAATTATATTTGTTTTTTTAGATAAACAGCTCTGTATTTTATTATAAAATCGATTTTATTTATTATATCATTGCTGGTATTTATAAATGATAACAAAGTGTTCTCGTACAGTTCGTCTGTCTATAATACAGTGAATATTATGTCCATGTGTTATTAATAAAGATTCCAATCAGTTGGAAACTGTTAATACTTAACGATTCCTCTCTTCATTCAGGGGTAAAATTTTATTTTTATACACAAACTTAACAACTATCAATAAGAGATATGGTATTTTCTACACAACCGCATTAAATCGACGTAACTTCATAACAAGCCATCACAGTATGATTTTTAAATTCGAAATATGTTATTTGATTACACTGATTCAGCCTCTTTGTGCTACGTAAAATCCCAGTGAACGAAGTGCATCATCTAATATAACCTGGATAATTTGAGTTGACGAACAGGTTAGTTTAGAATACTAAAGTGGACACTTCTACTGATGAAAGTAAAGCACAGACAATATAACGAGGTTTTGTGGAACGTGGTGGTTTCGTACTAATAGGAGAGTCCTCACTAGTATATATATATATATATATCACTTTTGTGTTATGTATGAAAAAATCTATCGGAATGTCTTACCCAAATATCCATTTCGGGGTAACAGTGATCAGAACAAAAGTATTCTATCCAAGCTGCGAATCCTTCCTTAAGCCATAAATCTGTCCACCATTCCATCGTAACGAGATTACCAAACCACATATGGGCTATTTCATGACTGATTACGGTTGTAATGGCTTCTTTTGTTGCTGGAGACAATGTGCGTGGATTAGCTAATAAAAATCTTTCACTAAACAAGAAGTAAATCATATTAGATGATTACTTACTAATCTACAAGAAAATGTGAACTTCAGAATACAAATAAACGAATTAAATAATGTGAGATTTTCTGGAATTTACACATACTTGATATATAAGTTACAGCATCAGACAGTACCAAATGATAAACTGTACACAATAAAAAACATATATATTACCAGTAAAATCGACCATAGGTAATTATGGCAGCGGTCATAACTAGAAAATTTCGATGTTGCTCCAAAACTAAATCTAGGGGGGTAGTTGTTGTATACAAGTCTTAGCAGTACTACGATTAACTAATATGACAAAGTTTAGTCATTCATAATTGAAACCTGTTGCAAATGTGTATCACCCCAACTCACAACGTGACATTGACAGGTAGACATGAAATTAATAAAATAAATTCCAAAGATGTTAGAATAGTATCAGTGATAATGAAAAAATACAAAACAGAGAAAATCTAGTCCGAAAAGGCATAAAATAATATTAAAACCCAAAACCAAGTAGATGAAGAATGAATGGATCTGCTCCCTTCAGGCCAAGTGTGAGAGCAACGTCACCAAACGTCCGTAACAATTGCTCATGATTATTCTTGGGATATTAACCAGATACTTTATACCTATTGACGCGACTCGGATCCACAGCAAATCATATCATGGATTGAAACCACGTTTTTCTTAGCCTATTTTCAAACTTCCGTCAACACAATACTACGCCAGTCAGCACTTTGTATCGTGGTAAGGGTTGTTGGGTCTGTGTAAAATGTGTCTCAGCCACTTCAACAGACGAAGATTGTCAGTACAGTGCAAATCCAGTTTCTGTGTTGTTCATTCTACAATAATAATCTTTGAATGATTATGGCTCTGGTAGGTAACTGCGATCCTTGAACGATTACACCTATCTATTAGAATGAAAAACTGAATTATCCGGGTCGGTGGGCTAATTTCTTGGTTCTCTGGTATGGTAGGAAGAACCAGTAAAGACAACAACAGCTACAGATACAGTATGGATTTGGCAATAGACGGTTCTACAGAACGATTTAAAAGTGTAGCATTACAGACGTGGTGTCAGATAAATATTTTTTGTTGATGAAACTCCCAATAAGTTTCTCTACAACTGAAAACAGTTTAAAAGTGGTTGTTCCCAAAACGTAAAATTCTTTATTTCATAAAAAAACTAACGACAACTAAATATTTCATGACATTATACTCATATTTTCTACATGATAAGTGTGAAGTATTTATGAAAGAAACAGTGGTCCACTGATTATCAAATACAGCCACCAAAACCAACCTTTGAACCCATCTATCAATCAGCTGCACTATTTGACTACTCCTTTAGGCAGATTTAAAAGTGTTGAAAGTTCTAGATAATTTCCCAGAAAAGTTTCCAGAAACCGAAGACAATGAAAAGGGTAAGAAAACACGATTAATAAAAAGTAGTCAGCTGCGGCTTCATCCCAGTGACTGAGTCTGATTTTCCATTCATCAAGCTACTAGTTTGAACAACTATCTACAAAAGCTTACGTAGGAAGTTTATGAAGTGTGTATGTTTTTTTGTCATTCAAATCATAAGGTACAAATATGTAATAATGGAGATTATATTGTTTCTTGTAATACACTGAATGACATAGCATGTGGAAGTTTATATCAACTCATTTACTTAAGTCTTTTATATCGTTTGAAGGATGGTTTTTGTGTACAGAATGTGTCTTTTTGGATTATTTATGGGTACAGAGGTGTGAGTTATTGAATTTTCGGATATCTAGAGTAAAGCTATAGATTAAAAGTGTTTAACAAGAAATATGAGACCAAATGTAACTAGGTTTTGAAAACCCTATTCAGAAAATCTCACTAGGATCTTCGGGATGAAATGTAATCATCAAAATGCAAATCCAGAGAATATGTTGCAAGTTTTATTGTATTAAAAGACAACTTGCCGAAAAGTTATTAATCCCCAGTTTTCCATTGCACCGCCGCACATATTAGGGACTGCAAGTAAATCAACTTTGGGTAATGGATACTTAATGCCGAAGTATTCCCCGTAGAATGGCAAACAATGACAAGCCACATTTAGGGCGATATAACTCTGGCTTTGTTCTGAATGAAGACCTTTACGCGAATACACACGCACTAAAACTCCGTTTTTGTCAATAGCCTGTGGTGTAAATGAGGTATAAAAACACAGTATTAAAATAATATTAGCATGAGTAATCTTAAAAATACTCTACCTAAAAATAGGATATAAACTGAAATTGGAGCAGTGAAATGTTTTGTTACACCTGAAAACAATAAATCATATTCGCAAAGTGACCTGATTTGTGAATGGAAGATGCGACTCCATCAAAATCCAACACAAGTTTTGTACTGATAAACTGGGAGAAGCGTATGAAGTTCATTATCAATATTAATCAAATCTACTTTAGATGTCATATCTATGTGAAATGACATCAATAACCCCAGAAAATACGCAGTAAATTTCGCATAAAACTGAAAACTTCCTATTGTTAAGACAAAACACCGAGTATTCGTATCGAGTTCTGTTTCACATGACGTAAAGATGTCAGTTCCATACGAGATTAACAATTCTAGTAGTTATTTCTAGAAATTCTATCTTTTTTGTAAATGATTCGTTCACCCCTTGGCTTGGTATATTCGTTCATTTTGGAATAGAAAGTTATTGAGAATGAGCTTCAGAAGAGTAATATGGGAAACAAATAACTATCGATTACAAACAGCAGACGTAAATGTGTACTTTTGATGACAGGGAAACTGAAATATTATCGCAGTGACATCTCTATGTAATCGTGACCAATAGTCTGTGACAAATCAGATCAAGACTTATAGGAAAAACACATTAAATCCACTGGGACATCAATCTATTTGAATAATATATTTCAAATAGTGATTAATCCTATCACATTATTATTTTATTAGGATTAGTTCATAGCTCAGAAATATGAAGTGACTCACTTGAACAATCTTTTCAAACTATCTGGAGTATTTTCTGGTGCCTATGATATCCTGTTTATGCTTAAGTAAACAAAAGTAATTTTTAACGTTTTGTTATAAACGAAGAAATAACAAAGAACCAACTAGGACTCAACTTCACAAATGCAAACATTTTCCAGGTTTGTAGTTAGTATAGTGAAATGAAATTTTTGACGATGATTTATTAGTTAAAACATTCAAATTTAAGTCACTGTCACAGATTCAAACCTAGATTAATTTCAGTCAATATTGCTAGCAAGATATTATAGACAGAACTCAAAGCCAAGAATATACACTGCTGTTTAGTTATATTGATTTGAACTTTAGTAATTATGCCATTCGAAGTCGATAGAACTGTAAAAAATGTTTATCGTCGTTACCGACAGTACAGTAGCTTTTCACTTGAAGTGAATAACTTAAAACTGAATTATTAATATGGATTGCTGGTAAAATATGATGTGTAATAACTTGTACCAATACACATAACCTTGAAGGATACCATTTAGCTTTTTGTTTTTGTTGTGTCTTGTGGACTGCAGATTAGAGCGCAGTGTATTATTGATCGGATCAATGACACGTAAAACACGCACGAACGGCCTAGAGTTCTGATTGGCCCTGCTTCCCTGTCTAGCCCAGCCAGTTGAGTCCAGAACGCAAGTCTCAGCCTCTGAGATATGAATCATTATATTTCAAACATACTCTGTTTATATACCAATCAACCAGATCACATCGTACCATAAAATAGAAAATAACATTGTACAGTAATGGCCAGGAAAATGACACGTTAAATAAATACTGACCAATAAGATGATACAATTTCATGTTCAAGGATAGCATTAGGCTTAACAGGATAATTTTTGGGATATTTTCCTGAATATCCCAACAGTTTTTCTATCAGAAGTCATGGATTTGGACTGGGAAATTTTTTAACGAAATGAGTCCCAAAAGAGTGAGTGTAAACAACATTTAGTCCACGTACAGACCAAACATACGGAAACTGAATAGTCTGTGTAACATCTTCATAATAGTTTATATATACATATTACTACATAGGAGTACGTTGATTGTCAATCATCCTTAACTAAATCACAGTGAACTACTATTATACTTGTCCCCAGGTATTACAACCGTCTATTTGCGTAATATCAACTGCAAATATGATCTTACCTCGGTATACTCAAGATCTCCAACAGCAAAAGCTACCAAATATGTTGACATCTTTGGAGTATCTTGGAAATGATAGGTAACTATGTTTTCATCGTGCTTTACTTTCGATAAGAGAGGCTAAAGCAAACGAATAGTGAAAAGCATCATACAAGAACAAATGAGTCTCTAAGGAAATGGATTATATTCATTAAAACAAGTGATAAAAATATAATAATTACTACAAACCCATTCAGTGACAGAACGCTAGTGTATAAGATCACAAGTTGTACGATGTACAGAGGTTAGGAATATCAACTATTTGCTCATTCAAGATTACATGGAGAGATATGACTGTTAGGAGTGTTGAGCTACTACTCCTTAGATTTTATTTTAACAATCAACTATAAATCATTCCATAATATGGTATAATTAGGTTTGAAAGAGGCAGAACAAAATAATTAGCAAAGTATAGGTTCAGTATATTAGCTCATACTAGTATATTACTTTCCCAAACCACGAGTTGAATATTTATAGTATTATCTATTTATTTAAACACAAACATTAGTACAAGGAAGCACCAAAATATATATGTGCCTCATAATGAAAGTGAGGTTGTGAAGAGACAGAATAGTTGAGTAGAATGAAAAAGAGTAACAAGGAACAGAAACTAATGTATGCGTGGAATAATAATGAGAGAAGCATTTCAGGTGGGAGAAATACAACCAGAAAAATTCTTTCAATTAAAGAAATTACTCTCACTTTTGCAAAGTAAAAATAATTTGCAGCAGCATAGCCACTGTCTTCTATTCTGAACCATGTCTGATAACTCTCAAGCCATTGTCGCACCATTTAGGACCCCAACCAAGGACTCGTGAAGTACCAACAGAATCCAGTCCTGTATAGCTTTTTTCATGTCAAGGCACCATGTTATACACTGACCACCTCTCCGCTTTTTCTAACCGGTCCCAGCGTCGGCAAATAATACACGATGTGGAATTCGCTGAGACGATATCCGTAGTACATGTCCAAGTCACCAAAGTAGGTGTTTTGAAATAGTGAATTCAACTGAATTATCGTCACTGTGCCCGAACACACATAGCTGAACCACTGCATTACCACCATGATGTTGCTACGGGATTTCAGCAACCCGTCAGAGATAACAATGATCAAAGAGAGTCGTCTAACGTCCTCAGTTTGATTTCACAAGCATAGAACAAAACTGCTCTCACCGACGCGTTGCAGATCTGACCTTTTACAGCCAGACTAACATCACGAAGGCGCCAAAGGTGGCCCAGATTGGCATAAGCCGCTCTGGCTTTCACTATACGTGAGTTGATTTCATCACTTACGCCACTACCAACAGTTAGGCAGCCTTATTTATAGGCGTGTCCGTAGATTATGAGAGTTAGAACACTTGGTCCCTTCGATGAATTAAGGTAGCTTGGTGAGATGTAATTAGTTTGGGGTCTTATCGACACCTTTATAAGCAGTGCATATTTAGTGGAAATAGCATATACGTAGAGTTTAAAGATGAGAAATGCTTATTAAAAATTCTATTACTCTTCAAAATCATTTTTTCTCTTATGTGAAGATAAGCTTCCTTTTTATATATGCTTAGAAATGCAAAATATTTCAACCAAAGGCCGTCTGTAGAAAATCGACATGGGCAGAAAGTTGTCTAATTTTTTTACGATTAGTCTAGTTTACTAAGAACGAAGTATGGTCAAGAATCTATTTAAAAGTGATTGTATTCGTGAGGAAGATGTTACGGAGAGTCAGTCAGTCAGTCAGATACAACGTAGGACCAGGCACATATGTGCATCGGTCCAGGTTGTCATACCTCATTAGCACAGCAAGATGAACACCGGATTCACAACAGTGGTTAGGTCAAAGGTGGTAATATATAAGAGAAAGATTGCATATAAGGATATAGTATAGGAAGAAAGAATTAGTTAGTAGAAAGAAAGATATGAAGTGATTTTAATCTCTTAGTTCAAGGGAAGACAGGGAGTGTATGCACCTACGCCATTGTGATCGATTCTGAGCCGTCACCAAGAGTCTCCAACCATTGGTTACGAAAGTCAAGCGGACCCCAATCAAGTAGTCTGCATCTACCGACATGGCTCAGACTAGAAGTTAGTGACTTCAAGCACTGATGCCACGTTTTGGTTTGGCCGCCCGTAATTCTCTTCCAACCATCTTCAACACCGGTTGCCCAATCTCACCATTCCTCTTCAACTTTGCCATCGATGACATTCTGGAAACAGCTCTGATAGATGTAAGTAATGGTGGTGTGGATTTGTTGCCTGGAGAAAGACTTCTCGACCTTGAGTATGCGGACGATATTGTCTTACTGTGCGATAATGCCAAAGGCATGCAATCCGCACTTAATCAGTTGGCAATCAGTGTCCGTAGGTATGGTATGTGCTTTGCACCTTCCAAGTGCAAAGTACTCCTACAAGACTGGCAGGATTCTAATCCTGTACTCACCCTGGATGGTGAGCGGATAGACGTAGTCGAGAAGTTCGTGTATCTGGGTAGCTGCGTAAGTGCTGGTGGTGGTGTGAGTGATGAGATCAATGCACGTATAGTGAAAGCCAGAGCGGCTTATGCCAATCTGGGCCACCTTTGGCGCCTTCGTGATGTTAGTCTGGCTGTAAAAGGTCGGATCTGCAACGCGTCGGTGAGAGCAGTTTTGCTCTATGCTTGTGAAACCTGGTCTCTCCGAGTTGAGGACGTTAGACGACTCTCTGTGTTCGATCATCGCTGTCTCCGAAGGATTGCTGACATTCAGTGGCAACACCATGTCAGTAATGCAGAGGTTCGGCATCGTGTGTTCGGGCACAGAGATGATAATTCAATTGGTGTCACCATCTTGAAACACCGACTTCGGTGGCTTGGACATGTTCTCTGAATGTCGTCCCAGAGAATTCCACGTCGTGCATTATTTGCCGACTCTGGGACTGGTTGGAAGAAGCGGAGAGGTGGTCAGTGCATGACATGGTGTCCTGGCATGAAAGAAAGCTGCAAAGGACTGGCTTCGGTTGGTCCTTCACGACTCCCTGGTTGGGGTCTGAGAGATGGTGCTACACAGTGGCTAGAGACGTTATCAGATATGGCTCAGAATAGAAGCCAGTGGCGATCCTGATGTAACCTTCTTTTACTTTCTTCATAAAAAGTGGTTGTGTCTCCCTTACCTGAAAGATTTCTTCTGATTGTACCCTTCCGTTCCCTCATTTCTGCCATACTACCTTACACTAATCTCCTCGTTATTGTTCTCTTTTTTTTCTATTTCTCTTCGAATTCTCAGTTTTGTGTGGCGCATATATATTGGCGCTCTCTTGTACCAATATTCATGTGTTCAAATAAAGAAATAAATAAAACACCGGTTAGCATTACACGTCGTGGTAATCGGTGTTCAGGCATACGTAACACGTGTCCCAACTATATCAGTCGATAAAGATTCACAATCTCATAAACTGATTTACCACCATTCCCTAATACTCTGCGTCTAACCTCATTATTACTTACCCACTGATCCCAGCAGATACGAGCAATATTTCTGAGACCTCTGTGATCAAATACTAGTAACTTACGCGTCTCCTCTACCCTTGATGGCCACGTTTCACAGCCGTGAAGTAGAACAGAACGAACTGCCGCGCAGTATACTCGTTCTTTTATTGATAGACGGATATCTCGCCTTCGTCATAGGTGACGTACGTTGGCAAAAGCCAAGCGAGTTTTTCGAATCCGTGCTGAGATTTCGTCAGACACCAACCCATTAGGGCTGATCAGACTTCCAAGATAAGTGAAGTTGTCGACGCGTTCGACTACTTCACTCCTTATCCTTAGTTCAGGTGTTGACGCAGAATAAAGTTATTAAACGAAATATTATTTCAATGTGGATCATTAAAATGTGTGAACCAATAGAAAAACCTCAACATGTTTACATCTGCGCTTTCAGCATGAAATAATGTCGAAAACAACATAATATGCAAAGGTAGTCTAGTGATAATTAGAATTTATTATAAGCTTAAGGTTATGGTAGTATGATGACAATATATGCCTCACCGAAGACAAGGAGTATATAAACAACCGTATCCATCCCATTGTGGTTATCAATTTACATTTGTGTAGGCATATGCACACATGAATAGCAACTAGCAGTCATTGAACACACAACTGGATGTTTACAAAAATCAATTTTGACAACCTGATAACACACTCCTCATTCCCTATTGCTTAGGATACAGTTGGAACTATTTGTAATGCATGTCTAAACTTAGCCTTCCTAAAGCTGCATGAAAAAGGCCTCTGGGAAACATTTAGATTTACAGAAGCCTGCAGTTGTCTTATTTTTTGCCTATTAACTCTTCTAAAATAAACTTCGATGTACTATAATACAAATCAACTAGACTTTTTCCCTCAAAACAGTTAAGTGATCATCAGCATCAGAGATTTAAAAGCGAAAACGATGTGGGCTAATAACGAGTTTGATGAAACGTACCATATTTGAAATAGCAGTCTTTCCTTTAGGAATATGAAGTTTGATACTGAAAACTGACTTGAACTCTGGTTCATCCAAACATGGGAATACTCGTCGAGCGCCAGTAGCCTACGACTTTTTATAGAGTCGGAAGATGTATTACCTCAAAGTGTGTAGAAAGTAGATAATGCTCCTCTTCATCAGAGATATATGAACTTCTATAGAGACCCTCCATTTTTTCACTTATTATACCAGTATACTCCACCTTTAGTTCCCCCAACACCGACTACGACAGGTAAACACACATACTAAAAAATATACTCACTACTAATGGTTCTCCAAGAACGAACGAAACCTGCTCATATTCCGGTTTCTCAATGACCTCAATATCAGCTAAGCGAGTAGAGTACAAACAACACAAACCTACTTCCATTGAACGTAGCTTTACTTACTGAAATGTCTTTGGCGTTGAGTAATATTTCCGAACTCTCTTCTTCAATCTGAGTACGAAATGAGGAGCATTAGTACTTACAGATACAGATAAAGACAGTGTACCAGTGAACTTGAAGCTTAAGAAGCATGGCTTGACTTCTATTTCATATCTTATAGGGATGACAGATTGGGGCAGACGTTTGAAGACACAAGGAGCCATGCCTGAAGGTAGCGAAAACTGCAAACCAGGATGGCGGGTTGAATCTGCGTCACTGATAATATATTCAAGCACACCGAGCGGTGACCTTGAGGCATAACAGTTAATCAACAAATTCCCTGAGCAAATTCCATAATTTAACTACTCATAAAGAGTAAAGAGAGTGTGGTGGAAAATAAATCACCAAAATAAACAGTTCTCTATATCCTTAATATTGATGCTGACTTTATTAGTCTCACCAGACACACTCTAGCTGAATGCTCTCGGTTAAGTGTCTTCATCAGATCACGAGTGGATACGCCGTGCCACATATATATTGCAACAAACAGTCAGGTTAGACCAAACGATTCTCGGTATGTTGATACCTCTCCAAATAAATCTTCGAACAGTTCCATTTCTGAATTCTGATCTGACTGAGTTGGTATGTAGTGGTATTGGTTCCTGATGTAGCGGCAAATACATCCCCAAAATAAATAGCTCTGTAAGTTTTCGACATTGGATGCTGACCACATTAGTTTAATGGACTCACCTAGCTAAAGGCTCTCGGTCATGCAACCGCAACAGATCACGAGTGGGAACTCCGTGCTCAACAACCCCGCAATCGCTAGCAAGATTAGATCAGACGATCCTCGATATGTTGACAGCCTATCACATATATCTTCGAACCTCCTCACTTCTGTCTTTTGCTTTCACTTAGTGGGTACGATTCATATTAGGTGCTACTGGTTAAAGCGTTGTCAAACTCCAAATACCTGTGACATCTTCACTTGTACTTGATATTTCTCCATGATTGAACAGACACCCAAGTCACTTAGGTTAAAGACTATGTCTCCACCTTCGTTCCAACTGATGCCCTTCTGACCAGACAACATTGAAGCCTGGTTCTGATACGCAGAAGCCGACTTCTACGAACACGCTGTGAACGACACACGTGTAAAATTCCTCACAGTAGTCAAAGCACTACCACGCGAATTCAACAGGTACGTAACACCTCCAGTATTCAGTAATAAGGATAGGAGGTCTATCGACCTATACTAATCCTTGCAGTTTGTAATACTGTGAAGGTCCAACCTCGTTTTGAATATATTAACAGACGGTGCTGATATTACGTGTTCCGGTAGAGAATTCCAGTAATTCACTACTCGGAGCGAGAAACGGAACTCTAGACGTAAACGATTTGATCCCGGTTTTCTGGACTTTCTTCGAATGTCCTCTCAAATGATCGGTCCCAGACGGAAGCAAGAGATAATACATGTTAATACCGAGGTCAGTATAAGCCAATATCAGATCACCCCGTATTCTACGGTAAGATAACGGAAATAAGTTAAGGTGTCTCACTCTGTCTTCATAAGATAGGCCAGATAGACCTTGTACCATCTTAGTACCTCGTTTTTGGACTCTTTCCAGCATATCTGCTTCATACTTGAACTAAGGACACGCTGCTTGAATCCCGTATTCTAAATGTGGTCTCACATAAATCGGGTATAGTAATCTAAACATTTCATCGTCTAACTACTGGAAAGACCTACGAATTGACCATAATACCCTATAACCTTTTGCAGCAGCAGCCTTATAGTGACTAGTCGTTTTGAGATCATTTCTTAATATAACTCCTAAATCTTTATAGTTTCTTGCTTTGGGTAGCACGAATCCACGTGGTGTATAGTGATACGATTCATCAGAGTTATTTAACTGCGTCCCTACACTCTTATTAGGATTTACTTCTAGTGACCACCTGTCCAACCATGCCACCAATGAGCTAAGATCATCCTGTAACACTATTTTGTCCGACATACTATGTATGGGTCTCCAAATCTTTGTGTCATCAGCGAAGAGTAGGACGGATAATTTTGCTACAGTTGGCAATTCGTTTACATAAAGTAAAAAGAGAAGAGGACCTAGGATTGTACCTTAGGGAACCCCACGTTTTACAGGTACCCACGAGAAGAGAGCCCCATTAACCCTTACCCTTTGTCTCCTGTCATAGAGAAAGTTACTTATCCAATCGACGACTGTATAATGGATTCCCAAACGTTCCAGTTTGAATTAAAGACCAGAGTGGGAAACCTTATCGAAGGCCTTACTTAGATCTATGAAAATCACATTCCGATCTTTTGCAGCAGCCCAATCTTATCTTGCAATGAGAAGATTTGTCAAGCAAGACAGGGCTTTCCGACAACCATGTTGTGCCCTGGAGAAAAGATTATGCCCTTCAACATAAATTAGAACGGATATCCGAATGATTTTCTCCATCAGTTTTACAACTGCACTAGGTAAGCTTGTAGTGGCATTGAACAATAACCGCACAATCCACAAAGCTGAACACGAGACTACTCAGAAAGTAGATATTCAATATTTAACGCGGAAAAATACCGAACGATGGAGAAGGCGCGAAGAATGAATTGAATGGAGTGAGTTGATCGAGTGGCATGGCTCGGCCATGCAGGCGTGGTCCCTGCTGGATGTTATCTTATATCTCCTATTCATATTAAATATATTGTTCTTTCTCTAGCCTAACCTTGTTCTACATCATGTATTGGTAATTGATACGATACAGTGAGTTGGTGTAGTCGATGGTGTGACTTCCACGTAAGATCTTATAGATTAGGCAGTTATATCATGACAAATCTACAATTTTAGGATTAGGTCTATTATTAGAGCAGTACTAATATCATAGTAGACCATAATTCTACATTGGTAATCCCGACTAAAGAAACGCAACCTCTTATTATTAATCCTTATTTTCACTTTTAACCTTCTCGATCGATTTTATATTTATGTTAACCCAGTATTCTGATAGTCCTCTGATTGATGCTCACATGTATTATCGTAATATTATATTGATTAGTTCTCATGACATACTAGCTCAATCGATAATTAAAACTGGTCGTCTATATAAACTAATTAGCTTTGATGATTCGTCAACAAGCCTTAATAGCATTTACATGCTTCAGCAACATAGACTTGTTTAAGCATCAAGGTCTAGCAAATATGACCTGTAAACAACCTAAATATACATTGACTAACAATGCAATCAAGGAATAAACAGTTATATGGATCTAATTCTCAGTGTTTCCTCACTAAACACCTCATTCTGTTTTAAACTATGCACTATCCTGAAATATCTCTTCTTCCGACCACTGCCTGCCTAATTTCATATTTTTGAGTTCCATTGCCAAACAACAAGGATGACACTTCTCCAAAAAAATACGGTGAGTTCCAGCTATAAGTTTTCTGCAATCATAAGTTCATTTTAGATGGCTCATTCAATGGCACACACAATTATCTGGATTCATTCAGTTGTTCTGATCAGAGCGAGTCCCAAAAACCTCAACAGCATCAAGCACCCTGGAAGTGATTGCCATACTGCATGTTTAATTCTGGATACTTTTGGATCATTTCTACTCCTCACGAATGGCGTTATATATGTCGTCCACTGAATAATCTAATTTTCAAAAATAATCCAGGCGAGTTCAACTATTTTACTGGATGATTTTTTTGTACTTAACATGTATATGTTTTCCAGTTGCTTTTGCCACATATTTGTAAGTGTCCCTAGGCTAAATGCAGTAACTTCTTATGGAATGTTTATAACGCGTTACATTCCTGTCTGAAGTTTCATAAGCAGTCTTGACTTTAAAATTACTTTTCCTGGTCATGTTCATTATTTTTAAATTTTTATATACGTCAACAACCTGCTTGTTAACCTGGCCCGTACATACGTTACACTATATCTTCATATCTTTTGAATTTAGAAATCATCTGAATCGCCTTAAACATTTATCAATAAACCCATCATAGTCGTTGTTGCTAATCGTATTTGGGTTTATGGATTGGTTTATCATATTAGCAGCCTAAAATGCGAACATAGTTTAGATAATAAGATTAAAAATTTAGGTACTATCAACTGCACTAGTAAAATAACTAAATCCTCAGGTAGCTGTTGGCTAAACAAACGTTTAAAATCAAAACTCCTTAGCCTACTAGAATTAACACTAAACTAATCTTTCTGATATAAAATTTATAATTAAATTAGGCGTCTCGAATTCTTTAACGTTACAAATTTCTGATAATTTCGAATCACCTAAAGCAACAATACCTATTTTTCCACTGACTAATCCTCATTCAACACTATAACTAGTTAAACATAATAGTTTCAGGATATCGTCATAAAGCATTGTCATGACTTGACAATCACGTAATATGATTGATAAAATTAATGAAACTATTAACGAAATCGGTCAACAAATTGACTTATAATTACAATTAAATGGTGTTGTTTTCTTGGTATCTTCATCCATCACAGATGATTACAGTATGTTTCTCTATCAGTTGCTTATTCAGTAAATATCTCAAAACCTTGTCAGTTTAATTGATGGTTTAGCGACACAATCATGCATGCAAAAAAAATCAGTATAAGCAGTCGAGCAAATCTCCTGCAAACTGAAAACATCAATGTCGAATTTACCCCAACACTAAGGTTCAAGCCATTATCATAGACATGAGTTGGGAGTGTACTCCCCTTGGCTTCAACTTGTTTCCTCCCTGGTAATCAAATGAGCGTCACTCACTGTTAATTATCTTGTAAAAACTTATTTAGCTGAATACGTCTTGCAGCATATCACCTAGTAATGTAGTATATAGACTTAACTGATTTCAGTAACTTATAATCACTATATCTCAATTGAATCGTATTCCGCCTTATGATAAACTGCATACTTGCAACTACCTTGTATGCATCGTCAGCGGTCAGGTATAAATATGTATAAATAGTCTATGGCAACTCGGAACATTAAGTCTAGAGCATGTCTCTTACGAATACACTCATGTTTAACGATTTGTTTCTAGCTATCTGTCCAAAATTCACATAATTATCACTCACGTATTTAAATATTGTTTTGATAACCATTCATGTGTATTAGTAGTATTACTAAAGTCTATCACGGTCAAGTAAAAATGAGGTTGAGAAAATCTCCCCGTAACTAAATAAACCGTATCAAACTAACTGGAACACTAGTTGGAATTCTTCTCCACGGTATACTTTTGTTCCTTCAGTTAGCCTACTAATACAGATGCAATTAGAATTCAACTC